ATTTGATTTGGAGAGATTCGCAGAGATTTGACGATTCGGCCATAGATACAGCTTTATATGTTTTTTCTATGTACCTTGAGGTACCAGGCACGGCTTGTGAATGTGGAGATGGTAGGGCTTCTGGAAGCTCTTACTATAAAGCAACATTTCTCTATCTTTAACCATTTCCTTGACTCTTCTTCTTTTCTTCAATTTATTCACATCTGTCTTGGAGAGTAGATTCCAGAGTTTGACCAAATATGGCAGTAACAAATTGCTATAGTGCCAAATACAAAAGTAACAGAAGGTAAGTACAGATGTTACATTTAGATTTACCTAACTAGAGTCTACTGTACCCCGGTAACTAGATATTTTTGAGACATTTAACTTGACCCTGCACAACATCTTGATTAAGAAATTAGATTGGTACTAAATTAGCATAGCACGTTAAAACTGGCTAACTGACAAGATCCCAAAATGAAGAAACAGTGTGTTTTTAGTAGGGCCCACATGGAGCAGGGTATGGGCTTCTGGGTTCCTACAAGCATCCAGGGAGGTTAAATTGGGCAAAAAATAGTGTACCCAATCTAAGTTAGTTCACCTCCTCAGATGAATTAATTTAGATCAGGTACAGCATTTTTTAGACTGAGTGGATAGATAGCTATGCCTCCTCAGGGAAACTCATTTAGATTAAGAATGGATTAACCTAATCTATCAAATGCGAGTAATTGTCTAGAGCGCAGCCCCAGAGATGGGAAAGCCCAGCTCTTCATCCTAGTCCTGGGGCTGGGCTCTTACTACCCGCCCCCTCCGACCCCTCACCGGGCTATTTTTGGCCCCTCCCCAACCGTCTCCCACTCTCAGGACAACAGTTCCTCACAGACCCACCAAAGCACCCCACAGACCTGCCAGCCTCCATGATCTTGCCATCCCCCACTGGATCCCAGCCCCTCTGGGGACGTGCTAGACCCCCCTGATCCTACCGTACTCTGAGTTACATACTCTTGTTTCCCCTTACAGCTTCTGGAACCTGTGAACAGTTGTACATGCCAGTCCCGATCTACATTCACGTGACTTAGAATAAGCTGCATGAATGTAGACCGGATGTGGTGAATGCCTGTATGCACCTAGAACTTCCCAATTCTTACTTGAGGTTTTCTGTTTAGACATCCAAAATCACACCAGCCCTTTTGTCTAGAGCAATGGTCAGTAACATTTTTGGACAGAGTGCCGAAAACACCCACAACTTCAACTTGTAAGATGTTGGTGTGCCAGGGGTGGATGATGGAGAAGCCATGAGGGGCCCAAACCTTGCTGTTGCCATGTAGCCCCGGCCCATTCCTTGCCATCCACCCAGAGGCACATGTGCCAAGCAAAATGCCTTTGAGTCCCACATTCTGGCACCCGTGCCTGGGGTTACCTACCCCTGGACTACAGCATTATCCTGGATGCTCACATTCAGCTGATGACCTACCATGACTACCAAGTCTTTCTCAGTCTTTGTTTTCTTGGGTGGAAGGCCCCATTCCATAAGCGTGGTCTACAATCTTTGCTTCAAGATATACAACCTTACATTTAGTTATATGAAAACACATATTATTCACCCACGCCCAGGTTTCCAAGTGAGTCAGAACCTCCTCACTACTGCTGCTTCCTCAAACAGTCATTTGCAAACATATATTAGTAACAATTTTATGGTTTTGTCCATGTTATTGAAAAAGTGGCGAAGAGTTTAGGGCCAGACCCTGATCCCACTAAAAACACATTGTTTAGTGATTATACCTCATTTTGGGTCCTACCAGTTGCCAGTTTTTAATGTGTGCTATGCTAATTTTATACAATTCTAGTTTTTAAATCAAGTTGTTATGCAGGGCCAAGTCAAATGTCTCAAGAATTTGTCTAGTTACTGGGATACAATAGATTAACATGACATTACAAGGATATTTGATATTTGTTTTCCACAACCATAAAGAGAGTTGAAGTCAAATCGAATACACAGCAAGGCTAAAACTCAGGCTTGTTCTGAATTTCTCTAAACCGATTTTCCCATTCACCTGAGGGTTAACTGGCAAAGGAAGAGGTGAGAAGCCGAGGATCACTCATAGGCATGCTCCTCTGCATCTCCTGTGTCATTCAGCTTTCTTTCTGTTCTTCCATAGGTTCACAGTATTATAGTCTCAGCAGAATTTAAGCAGATAATGGCAGTGTGAAGTCCACCAATTTTTTTACAAGCTCCAGTCAACTATATTTCAAATTTTGTCTACTACCCAAGGCACTATCTAAATGAGAATGATTTATGTGTGGCAAGTTCTGCATAGCTTTAACACCACATAGTGAAATGTCCTGAATACTCTGCGTTTTTGATCTGCATTCAAGTTTTATAATGGTGTGTTAACTTTGTGGTTACCTGGCACCAAGGTCCACCATGAACCATTACATGCAAAGATTTTGTGGCTCTATAACTCTCCCTCACAAACCCAACCTCTATGTAATTTGGCACTATTCAGCATGACTAACAGTCTCTGTCTGCTGGAGAGAGCTGTAGGCCTGAGCCAATGTTTATACTAAGGAGTAGAATCAAGCAGTGCTGTGTAAGGGCATTTTTACTGTGATTCACTCCAAATCTATGGATAAAGAACTCAAACTCAAAAAATGGCTGGCTTTAAAATGCTGCCGTAGGAACCAATTCTGTTTTTGGGTCTCAGCCTGAGCAGTTGGGATGAGTGCTGGGAAAGTCTGGGAGGACTACAGGGAGGAGCTCTTTCCATTTTGGCTGCGGAGTGGAAAGATCGCTGCTCTGGTGCTATTACTTCAGTCTTAGGATTGGAATAGCCCAGGGGTGGGCAAAATGCAGCCTGCAGGCCAGATGCGGCCCACCAGGCCATTCTACCCGGCCCATGGGGTCCCTAAAAAATTTAGAAAATTAATATTTATCTGCTCCTGGCTGCCTGTCATGTGGCCCTTGATGGCTTGCCAAAACTCAGTAAGCGGCCCTCCACCCCAAATAATTGCCTGCCCCTGGAATAGCCTCTCCTCTGCTACCAACCAATGCTATCACAATAGTGATTGGTTGCGGATGCGTGGCAGATCCACATGCACTCCCTGTAAGGACGTTTTGTTCCTGGCTGCACTGACAGCTACCACAAACCTGGGGTCTAAAGGCCACAGAGAATGTCCCTCCATGGTGCAGGAGTCTGAAATATAGATGTCACTTCTTTACCGTGAAACCTCAGTAGTTCTGCAGACAGGGCCTGCAGTATTGTAGCAGGTAGTAGGATTCAGTGCTTAGGGTCTGAGTAAATGTGCACTCAGGTGAGTGCCATTGCTTTCTATGAGTGCTGGATCAGGTATTAGTGCAAACATTAACTTTTTAAGGATTAAATTAAACAAAACAAATGAAGAATTTGCAGGAATGAAGGAATGTCTTCACCAATGAATGGAGAGTGGGTGTACTATCTGAGCAGTGTCCAAAATATTGCTATGCACCTTCCTAGGGTAAATATATCCAATACATCAAAGGTACCATATACAACCTAACTTTGTGGAATCATTCAATTTTTATATCCAAAAAGGCTAGGTGTTTTAGCTGTTACAAGCTTATGTCCACTATCCTGTGAAATTCAGTTACAAAATCCATTCATCTCTTAAATCAGGGATTTCATTCAGGGTCTTTCCATTTTGTAAGCAACAGGTGGAGATACCGTTTCCCAGTGGCTAATTCTAAGCCAGTGGACAGGAGATGCACTTCCCACTTCATGGATTGTATCCAAGCCCATACTAGCTCCCCAGTGCCTAGATATTAAGCTGAAAAATGTTTAGGTTCAACACTTTCTCACATAGGTCATGTTACACACCATGTAACTGGTAGACTGGTCAGGCCTCTCCTAAGATTCCTCAGCTGTTTGGAAACACTAACACGTGGGCGAGTTTTAGGTCTTTAAAAAAGCAGCTTTATATTGAGCCTGTTGTCTCAGAAGATTTTCTCCAGAATGACTTATATTGTTTTTATGGCTATTATCAATAATCAGCTCATGGCAAAAGCATGTGGCTTCATGACAGAAGACAATGGTGTCATAAAAGTGATACAGACACTATGGTAATCTCATCTAATTTTCTGATGTTAGGCTAGGACAA